ACGATTCACCTTCCCTTCTAAAGGGGGCTGGGGGAAGCCCCTAAACTAAAACTCAAAATGCAGTGTTTATTCAGTACTAGTCAGTGTGCCTGCCTACTGCTGTGTTATGGACACATCTTTTCTCAAGGCAAGCACATAAGCCACAGTTCATTCACAAGAATGGACATTAAATAAAATGAAAAATACTCAGGAATTATATTCTCTATAGTTCTAGAAACCCATATTCTTTAAGCCAAAGGGTAAAACTTTATAGCATGTGAGTTAAATCTCTATTAAGGTATTACAAAAAAGAAAAAAAATCAGTAACATTTGTTTTGGGTTCAAATGAACAATCCTGCATATTAAAGGATCTTTCTTTTACATGAGAAAAGATTATAGTGACAGAATGCAACTCTTGGTGGTACTAACAGCAACTATATAAATATACCTTGAATTAATTACAAACAAATGTGCTTACTGTTGGTACTGCAGAATACCCAAATGCCTCTAAAAGAAGAAACAAGTGGTAGTTTCTTCACTTTTCATTAAAAAGCTGTGAAATGCTGTCTACATCAATACTGGGCAGGGATAGAAGACGGGAAGGTTAGCATTAGGAGAGATTACCATCAGGGTAATACTGCTGGTTCATGCCTTCTGGAGGACCTTGTCCACCATGACTGTATTGGTCCCCATAATAGTCTTCCTGGCCTGAGAACTGCTGTGGTGGGCCTGAAAAACCACAACCAGTCAAGATGTAAATCATTTGTTCTCTATGTCATCACAGGCGTTTTCTAATCTCATGCTATGAGAGACTACTTCTCAGCTGTAGACTCCCCTGCAATACTCTGGCCCTTCTGACACTTTCAATTATTTCCACACACACTTACATATACACACAGCAGGTCCACAAGTCACATCTATAAAGTTAATATAAGACCATACAAATAATACCAAACAATATCAACCCAGACAAACAACCTCTTCAGAAGGGGCTGAAGCTGGTAGGAAACTCTTTTCTTTTTACTTTAGTAGTAGAACACTTGGAAGTAAAACTGACTTTGTTCTTCGTCATAAATTTAGCAGCTTTTAAAAAAGGGCATTTTCTGTTGTAAATGAATAAATTTTGACAGAAAACTTTATGATGTGGTATTTTCCTAGAAAATAACAGACAAAAGGAAGCTGTATGCCGGGAAGCTCCTATGTCTCATGACTTTCTGTACCCTAAATCCTGATGCCTTAGGGAATGTGGGGGAGGAATCCAAAATAGCTCTGGATTTACCTAGATAAAAAGTTCATTAAAATGTAAAGCCTTTCAATGACTGTTATTTACATTAAGCAAGCAACATTCCAAATGGCCTCTCACCCTGCTGTGGCGGTCTATACGGAGGCATCTGTCTCTGGCCCATCATGTGATTGCCTTGGTTAACTTGCCCCATCATGCCCATGGGGGGTTGCTGTCCTTGGTAGTGCTGCCCACCTCCAGGTGGCATGTTGTATTGCTGAGAAGGAGGTTGCTGATGCATCATGGGACCTGAGGACACGTAATACATTAACACACAGTATTCTGCTACACTTCAACATCCTAAGATAGATGCAAGAATATCTTACAATATAATACACAAAATGTGCAATCAAACAAGGAAAACTGACTTCAAGTATAAATGAGTCTTTGCATAAAGCTTACATGCCCAAATTCATGTGACAGTAAGGAAAACAACCAAGTCTCAGGTCCAAGTGAAGTCCTTTTTTAAAAGTCAAAATGGAGATAAATCTTGAACATATGCATTTTCTATACCTTATTAGCTATACTACTCTCTAGACAAAAATATCTTACTACACTATTAGAAAAGATATGAAAAATAAATTCCACAAACGTTCCATATCAAATCAGTATTCAAACCAACAACAGAAACCAAACTTGTAGACTTCCATGTCATTCTTTTTTGCAGGGGGGTGGATAAAGATTTATTTGTTTGTATGTATGTATGTAAGCTTTCATGATTTATGCACATCACATGCATACAGGAGCCCAATGAGGCTAGAAGAAGGCATCAGATCCCCTAGAGCAGGAGTTACAGGTGGTTGTGAGCTGCCCAGTATGAATGCTGGGAACTGAAATCAGGTGCCCTGTGAGAGCAGCAAGCATTAACCACTGAGACATCTCTCTGACCCTACCTTTTCATTCTTTTTAACAGACGTTTATTCAATAGTGGTTGGTAGAAACCTATAAAAGTATTTCACAAACAGATCATTTGAATTTATAAACTTCAATTTGAGGACAAAATTTCAAAACAACCTTTCCCCTTCTCAAATCTTTTACAAGCTTTATAAACTTGAAACCAATGGACTACAATGCTTCTTTTTTTTTTTTTTTAATTTTGTATGTATGAATGCTATGCCTGCCCACAGAAGCCAAAGAGGACATTGGATTCCCTAGAACTGGAGTTACAGACAGTTGTTGGCTGCCATGTGCATATTGAGAACTAAACCAGAGTCCTTTCCAAGAACAGCCATCTCTCCAGCCTCCAGGACTGCAGTGCTTCTTATTAAATAACTAAAACCCTCTCGTCCTGCCCCTTGTTTCCCCTCCCTAAAAACTATCAGGAAAGGGAATGCAATAAAGCACGGGCTCAGAAAACAGACCTACACTGTCTCCTGAGTGAGAAGCCAGGGGAAGCAAAAGCTCCCACTGCTGCAATACACACAGTGAAGATATCCCCATAACCAGCAGGGGCCATCACATCCCATGCCACTACCATCAGTGTAAGCCACTTTTAAGTGAAAGACCTGTATGACAAGAACTTCCAGTCTTTAAAGAAAGAAATTAAAGACGATATCAGAAAATGTAAAGATTTTCCATTCTCTCAGATAGGCTGGACCAACATAGTAAAAATGGCAATCTTACTGAAAACAATCTATAGGTTCAATGCAATCCCCATCAAAATCCCAGCCAAATTCTTCACAGACCTTGAAAAAGCAATACTCAACTTCATATGGAAAAACAAAAATCCAGGAAAGCCAAAACAATCCTGTACAGTAAGGATCATATGGGGGCAACATCATCCCTGACTTCAAGCTCTACTCTAGAGCTATAGTAATGAAAACAGCTTGGTATTGGCACAAAAACAGATAAGTGGAACAATGGAATTGAACCAAAGACCCCGAAATCAACCCACATACCTATGAACACCTAATTTTTGACCAAGAAGCTAAAAATATAAAATGGAAAAAAGAAAACAAATGGTGCTGGTATAACTGGCTGTCAACATGTAGAAGAATGCAAATAGATCCATATCTATCCCCATGTACAAACTCAAGTCCAAATGGATCAAAGACCTCAATATAAATCTATCCACACTGAACCTCATAGAGGAGAAAGAAGGAAAAACATTTGAACGAACTGGTACAGGAGACCACTTCCTGAACATAACACCAGTAGCACAGACACTGAGAGCAACAATTAATAAATGGGACCTCCTGAAACTGAGACTCTTCTGTAAAGCAAAAAAAATTGTCAACAAGAAAAAACAGCTCCCTGCAGGATGGGAAAAGATATTCACCAACCCCACATCTGACAGAGGACTGATCTCCAAAATATACAAAGAACTCAAGAAACTAGACATCAAAATACCAAAATAATCCAATATAAAAATGGGGTACATATCTAAACAGGAATTTCTCAACAGAACAATCTCAAATGGTGGAAAGACACTTAAGGAAATACTCACCATCCTTAGCCATTAGGTAAACGCAAATCAAAACCACTCAGAGACTCCATCTTACACCTGTCAGAATGGCTAAGATCAAAAATACCAATGACAACTTATGCCAGAGAGGATGTGGAGAAAGGGGAACACTCCTCCATTGCTGGTGGGAGTGAAAATTTGTACAGCTGCTGTGAAACCAGTATGGTGATTTCTCAGAAAATTATGAAATCAACCTATCTCAAGACCCTGCAATACCCTTGTTGGGCATATACCCAAAGGAGGCACACTCATATCATAAGGACATTTGCTCAACTATGTTCATAGCAACATTATTTGTAATAGCCAAATCTTGGAAACAACCTAGATGCCTCTCAACTGAAGAAGAATGGATAAAGAAAATGTGGCACATTTACACAATGGAGTACTACTTACTCAGAGGTAAAAAAAAACAATGACATCCTAGAATTTGCAGGCAAATGGACAGAATTAGAAAAAACCATCCTGAGTGAAGTTAATTCAGACCCAGAAAGACAAATATAGTATGTACTCACTCATAAGTGAATACCAGACATAAAGCAAAAGATACCTAGCCTACAATCCACAACCCCAGAGAAGCTAGGACCCTCTTCCAGAAACAGATGGAAGCAGATGCAGAATTCCACAACTAACCAACCAATAAGCCAAGCTCCTGGAGTACAATCAAAGTAAGGGGAGGAGTGATAATATGAACAAAGGAGTCAAGACTATAATGGGGAAACCCACAGAATCAGCTGACCTGAGCTAGTGAGAGATCACTGACTCTGGGCTGCCAAATGGGGAACCTGCATAAGACCAAACTAGATCCCCTTTATATAGGTGATTGTGGTGTGACTGGGAAAATATATGAGGTCACTGGCAGTGGGTCCAACATCTAACATTAATGCACAACTGACTTAGGGGAACCTATGCTATATGGAGAGATACCTTGCCCAGCCTAGACACAGGGGTGTGGGGGTGGGGAGAGGCCTTTGTCCTGCCTCAACTAGATGATGGGACAGACTTAGTAGACTTCCTAGGGGAGGCCTTACCCTCTCTGTGGAGCAGATGGGAGGAGGAGGGGAGTGGGTGAAGCAGGAGGAGAGGAGGGAGGGGTAACAAATTGGAATGTAAAAAATAAATTAATTAAAAAAAAAAGAATTAAAGATCATCTCCAGATATCTAACAAGCTGGAGCTACAGACTGGGCTACAAGTAAGGATGGGGACATGTGAGGCTTGGAGGGAGGAGAGGGAATGGGAAAATGGTGTAATTATTTTACAATTTCAAAAAAACAATAGCTGATAGATGACAATACCACAAAAAGACATTGGTTTTTGAATTTGTTATGTAAAAAGATACATAGCTAATTAGCCAGTCAATCATCATACACATCACACATGATACAGTGTGACCAAAGCCAAACACAGTTTCTGAGTGTCTTGAACAAAGAGTATAGAGGAAAAAAACCAAACAACTATGTAATGCAAACTACTGAGATTTCTATGAACAGTCTAAGTATGCTATGCTACTGTACCTATAGCCATACATACAGAAATAACTGAAAGGCTATAGTACCCCTCAAACTCTTTACCTCAGCAACCCAGTACCAGCAATATTCTTAAGAATATTCTTGGTGGTGAGGAAGAACAAAGATAACATGATTCAGTCACTCCAAACCTATTCCCATGGAATACTTAAAGTAACTCTTTCATTTGTTAATTTTCTATTCTATTCTCAAAATTTTGAGAATGAATCATGACTTGGGATCTGTGCCACCCCACCCCCTTCAGTGAGGCCAGTACTGGAAACAGTGCCCCATAATCCCATATACTACAAACATTTTAATTTCTGAATTAGAAGTCCTACAATTCCTAAATAGTAGGTTTGAGTATGGAGTCATGGAGCAGGAGCCATAACTAGAGATGTAGACTAATCATGTGGGTAATCTATTAATCAAGTCCACCTATAACTGTATCCAGATGATCAGTAGTCTGTAAGGTTAAGATGTCTTTATCCAGACCAACACCAGCCAAACGCAAGCCAGAGCGTGCCAGGAGCAGCAAGGCAGAGAAAAGGGGTCCCATGTGCTTTGTCGCTCCTTAAGAGCCTATCCTGCACCATCCTGACCTCACAGGCGTGGTCAGGCACTCCTGTAGCCAGCCCCTAACAGGCATGGCTTACTGTCCCCTACAAGGAGTCTTTTGTTTTTTGGTTTTTCGAGACAGGGTTTCTCTGTGTAGCTTTAGAGCCTATCCTGGCACTCACTCTGGAGACCAGGCTGGCCTCAAACTCACAGAGATCTGCCTGCCTCTGCCTCCTGAGTGCTGGGATTAAAGGGGTGTACCAACAACACCTGGCGAAATGAGGAGTCTTAGTGACGAGAAATAAATTAAGAGGATGTGGCTGCAATAAGGCAACTGAAAAAAGTCAGTTTTTTATGTTCATTTATAATCTAAAAAGATTGAAAACCTCGACCAAATGTTTTCATATAAATTATGTAAATGCTTACTGAATCACTTAATCTTTTATCATTATCATTAGTAGTGAGAGAAATGGGGGGGGGCGAAGACAATTTTTTAAAGATTATTTTATTTGTATTTTGCCTGCACATAGGTATATATGAACTAGAATCCCTGGAACTGGAGTTATGGATGGCTGTGAACCATCATGTGGGTACTAAGAACTAAACTCAGGTCTTCTGAAAGAGCAGCCAGTGCTCTTAACAGCTGAGCCATCTCTACAACTCTCCAGGGGACTATTTTGAAGTCAGTTCTCCCCTTCCACCAAGAGTAGAGGAATACACTCAGGTTCTCGGATATATGTAGCAAACATTCCTACCCACCAAACCATCCCACCGGCCAATGTCACTTGATCTTAAAGAATTTTAATCTTTATCAAAGAAAGCCCAGGGTCAAGACTAAGTCCACAAACTTATATACACGGTACTTGTGAAGGGCACTCTGCCCAAAACAACAATCTGTGAAACTCTTCACACCTGACACTTAATGAAATTCCATTAAATAAGGAAAGCTACAATTAATGTTTGTGAATAAAATATACACTGCTTCTAGCAAATGTAACTGTGGGCCATTTCCAGAAGGCTTTTCTGTTCTAATTTGGCTGATTTGTTGCTTTATTAAACATCTTTCCAGATTATGACATGGCATTTAGTTCCAATTCACTGTAATCAAAGACAGACCACATGACTTCAAGCACTGTGCTCTGTACTAAGAACCAGTCGGCAACGGAGCAGCCATGTTTGTTCCCTGCCCTTTCTGCTCTTTCAGTTCTCCTGCCACCTCTCACCATGTGGGTCCTGCCTGTGTGCCTACAGTTCCCACAGTGGAGGCTCTAAGTGATCGCTGGGGAACTTAACAGGACAAGAGTGAAAGGAGAAGGAGAAGCAGACACTATGCTGTCTATTATATATAAGACCATTTCTTAAGCTAGAAGCTTAAAAGTTTGCTCAAAGAGAGCACGGAGGAGACTATTCTGCTGTAGCTATAGTTTAGCTGCTCATTTAAAAAATGAGAGGGAGTTAGAAGAAAGAGGAGGGGAGAGGAGGACATGAGAGAGCAGGAAGATCTAGTCAGGGGAAGAATAGAGGAGAACAAGAAAAGACATACCATCATAGAGGGAGCCATTATAGGTTTAAAGAGAATTCTGGCACTAGGGAAATGTCCAGAGATCTACAGGGTTGATCCCAACTAACAATCTAAGCAATAGTCGAGAGGCTACCTTAAAAGCCCTTCTCTGATAATGAGATTGAGGACTACCTTATATGCCATTCTAGAGCCTTCATCCAGTAGCTGATGAAAGCAGACACAGACACCCACAGCTAAACAATGAGCTGAACTCCTGGAATCCAATTGCAGAGAGGAAGGAGTCAAGACCAGGCTGGAGAACCCCACAGAAACAGCTGACCTGAACAAGGGGTTGCTCCCGGGCCCCAGACTGATAGCTGGGAAACCAGCATAGGACTGTTCCAGACCCCGTGAAGGAGGAAGTCATTTTGGAGGTCTGGGCAATCTATAGGGCCTCTGGTAGTGGATCAGTATTTACCCCTAGTACACAAATGAACTTTGGGAGCCTTCTCCACATAGAGAGGTACTCTCTCAGCCTAGACATGCTGGGGAGGGTCTAGGCCCTGCTCCAAATGATGTGACAGACTTTGAAGATCCCCCAGGGAATGCCTCACCCTCCCTAGGGAGCAGAAAGGGGTTGGGATAGGGGATGAACAGGGCAGAGTGGAGGGGAGGTAGAGGGAATTGAGATTGACATGTAAAAGAAGCTTGTTTCTAATTTAAATAAAAAAGAAGGAAAAAAGAAAACTTTATTTTTCTCAATTTCTATATGTATAAAACTCAACCTGAACTAAGACACCAATTACAAGACTATCACATATAAGCTGCTTTTAAAATTTCTAAAGCCAGTTGCTGCTAATATTAATTTCAATAACCACAAATATAGCAAAATATAATTAGTAAATAGAATGGGATCAACTTGGGTTTTTTGTTTGTTTCTAATAGTCTTGCTACATTGCTCAGGCTGGTTCACATGCCTAGCTAGGTACTAGTGAGCCTGTTCAGCCTCCACGGCTAACTTGGGACTTGAGGCAGATGTCAGGGCACCCAGCTTTGTGCAGATCTTTAAAATGTTTTTGTTTTTGTTGTTGTTTAGTTGGTTGGTTGGTTCTGGTTTTGGTTTTTTGAGACTCTGTGTAGCTTCGCAGACCAGGCTGGCCTCAAACTCAGAGATCCACCTGTCTCTGCCTCCTTAGTGCTGGGATTAAAGGTATGTACCACCACCGCCTGACTTAAAATAATGTTTTTAACAATACGTTTTTTCAATATTTTTGTTACTTTAACATTTGTATCAATTTAAACTTTTTCATAAACTATGAAGAAACTAAAACCGGTTTTTACTCATGAGGTTCTACTAGAAAGAGGACCTCACATTAGAGGGAGCTAGGGATGCTACAGTGGAAACAAGACTACAGCCTATGTGACATAAAAGCAAGGCATCCAGCCAGGGGGCTGGGCACAGGGAGGGCAGGCAGCAGGTGGACAAGTTAGAACAAAGTGTAACGAAACACATACACGACAATTCCATAATGGAGCCCAGTACTTTATATGCTTGTTTACAAAATTAATTTCAATATTTTTTAAAGAATTAAAAGTCCAAAGAAATTCCACAATTCTACCACACTGTTTTACTGTCCTACAAGGCCAAAGTACATCAGCTCCAGTGGTTGACAGATTCTTTCTCTACTTCTTAAGCATTCTAACAGATAAAGATGAATAGAGTATCTACACATTAGATTTCTTTAATATGGACTAGTAAAATTATATTTAAAAAATTTGGGAGTTCATTTTCTCCCCATTAACATTTAACATTCAAAGTAGAGATGTGGGAGGGGACAACAGAATTCTTATAGCAATTTACAAAGGGAGTTGGGAGCCATGAGCTTAACAGCTAAGAGTGAATGCATGTTGTAGACTCTGTCCTGCAGAGGTCTCATTTAGAAACTACTGCTACTGGGGATGGGAGGGACAAGGTGAGCTGCAGCTTGGTGGTCCAATACTTGTGCAGTATGTATGCACCTACAGGTACAACCCCAGCAAGAAAATCTAAAGAGAAAACTACAACATAATCAGTCAGTTCATAAAAATATCATTATATTCCTGGTCCCTAAACATAAGCTGAACCCCAGAATTTCATCAATATTTAGTTTCCATGACTCAAAAAAAAAAAAAATTTAAAAACTGGTAGCACATGACTGTAACCCCAGAATTTAGAAGGCTGAGGAGGGAGGAGTCTAAGTTTAAGGCCAGCCTGGAGTACACAGTGAAATCTCAAAGCAACCAGACAGGGGCTGGAGAGGTGGCTCACAACCATCCATTAGCTCCAGCTCCGGGGGGTACTCTCTTCTGACCCCCTAAGGTACTATATACACAACATAAATCTTAACAAAGCAACACATACCCCCTGCCCCCAAAGGTGGAAAACAACAGCAAGTACTTTTAAACATTTTTCTGGTGTTTCTTGATACAAAGATAAACACACGAAACCATGGGACTTGTCTAACAAAACAAAACCAAAACAGCAAAAGCAACCCACATTAAATTTGAGAAGTGGGAGCAGGATTTTGGGTCCTGAGAAATTTTTAAAAGGTAAAAAATGTAAAAAAACAATTCTTTTCCATTTTTAGAAATTTTCAAGCTTTCTTAAAAAAGGACTATCTGCAAAGTTTTTATGTCTAAAAAGAAAAAATGTAAACTAGGTAGCTTATTTTTATAAAAACTATCTAAAGAAGTGTTTTTATGAGGAAACAACAATAAAACCTTAATGAGACTTTCATTTGCCAGACCAGCTTTTCATCCAACAGATCCAGATAACTAACTTGAACACATCTAATCAGAATTATAAAAAGCCCAGACTATATTTTGAAATTATAATATTTCATCACAAATAATTTTAACCAATTCTTCCTTTATCTGAGTATTTTGAGTGACTTGATTTTTTTTTTCTATAATCAAGATCAAGGCTCACTACATTTTGTGTATGAAATAGCTTTAAGGTGGAAATGTGCCAAATGCTTTAACACAGCAATTAGCAGAACAGAGTGCCACTTACTGGTTTTTAGTTCTTATTCACAGGATATTTAAAAGAGAAACATGGTAACAATGTCACTGAGACTGGTAATAATTTGTCATG